TCATACCGAATCAAAACAAACATAGTGTAGTACTAGACTTTCGGCTAAAATGGGGTATGTTAATCGATTTGCTTGGGACCAATAGGCTAGTCAAGTAGTGAGCCAATTTTAAATCGTTAGTTTCATATTGATTGTTGATTGTACCACATGGCAACACTAAATGTACTAGAATGTATTGGTTCTATCTCTTTCACTCTACTCTAAACTGAAATGCATAAAAAAAATGACAAAATGATACACTCTTTGTACACTGTCAAAGATCATATTGCACACAAAATCAACTATGTTCAAATCAAAACAAAAATACTAGCCCATCTGGTGGCTGATGGCACAAGCTTCTAAGAAAATTCTATTACAGCGAACTACATTATTTTAATTGATTTCTTCGCCAGTTAGTCGTCTGTCACTTCGTTTGTGGTTTTATTTTATATTGCTTGTGTCCTACTTGTCAAAGTGTGCCCTAATGTGCCAACCATTGTGTCATGCTGTGTTTCGGCACAGTGTGCAGAGTTGATTACCCCTTGCTAATATGCGATAACCAATAAGATTGAAATGCGAAGAAAAAGAAGAAGTAGGGTAGAGCGCTACTTCGTCGTAATCGACCATTTCCGTTCTATCGATCAGAAAAGATCAATAATATCAATGATTTCACCGTGCACAAATCAATAATAGGTTTGTTTCGATGCGTTAGTTCACAAGCTACAACATAAATCCTGTTAGAGCGCAGTGTATGAATATTTACGCTCATTGTTCTCAAAACAAAAGAAACGCTCCTAGTGAATCCTCTTTTTCTACGTTTATCCTTAGGACGAAGAAAATCTAATGGCGTTTCAATGCATTAGGACGGAATTGAAACTCGTAGAACGAATTTAGAATCAAGAAGCAGTGTTAGATTTTTAATAATATCTCAACATTGTTTGACTCTTTATCAAATCCAACGGTACGTATGGAAAGGTGAATAAATCTAGAAGTCATCTTTGAGAGAGATTTTTCATTTTTTGTTCAAACCCGTTCAAAAAAAGGAAGTAAAGCGCGGGTTCTGCTTAGTAGGACGGAAATTAGATCAAAAACCCTAGAATGAATGAATTTTATGAATGAGTAAATGTAAACAAGGGTTCGATTCAGCGCTCATTCCATAGTGGGTATATTATCTTTTTTAATTTTTTACATTTTGCAACCATTAAACATGATTTGTAAATTGTTGAGGCTTAAAATGTTGACTGCCCAGTCGCGTTTCTTATGCAATTTGGTCGTAAGGACAATTTTATGTTTATTTTTAGAGTGGGCGGCTAGGCGGGGCCTCATAGCCTAGTCAGAAAAGGCACGGTATTACCAAGCCGGAGGCGGCGGGTTCGATTCCCGGGCCGGTCGAGGGAATCTTTCGGTTTGGAAATCGAACTTCCCTGGGCATAGAGTATCATTGTCCTTGCCACACAATATACAAATTCATGCATTGGTAATTGGCATCGAAAGCTCTCAATTAATAACTGAGGAAATGCATTTATAACACTAAGTTGAGAGCACGCAATAAGCTAATATGCAGTAAGCAATAAGCTTGAAATGCGAATAAGAAGAAGAAGAAGCTAGGCGGGGGCAGATCACTTGAGGTGCATTTATTATAACAATTTTTGCTGTGTGTAGCTTTAAGTGACACCTCTCACCAATACATGCATGTATACATGAAGGGTTTCGTCGTGTTTTGTCGATCGCTCAAATCCACACTCCTGGCTTGAGAAAATGATTCCAGAAGCTCCTCGATCGAGAACGCGGAAAATAATCCGTCGAATTTTCCGGTGGTAACATTAGAAATCTCCACCGAAATCTTCGCCGTGAACATATGAAAACTCCTTCGAAACTCCCCTCAAAAATTCAGATGCTGCCAACGGAGATTCCCAGAGACTTTCGACGAAGTTTCCACGCATTATCGGTGAAAGAGGTTCTGCACGATACCAGTGAAGTGATTGGATACTGCAGACGAAAGTTCCAGGGAGTCTCGAACCATCATAAGAATCTTTCCCGGCCCCAAAAACCCTTGCATACAAGTTTTCACGCCGATCGGTTTAGTAGCTTCCGAGTCTATAAGGGTCAGACATGGCTCTAATGTTGGCCTATGGATCTAAAATTGGGCCCATCGCAAAAAATCTGCTATTGATCAATTTTATCTAGATGAACACGTCGTTGGGGTGGTACTAATGGATATTTTTGGGCGCTATTGAAATTTTGTCGATTGCTGAATTTATTTATGGGGCCAAATTAGGGGCATTTAGGCCGACATTACATCCATTTCCCCTATATATAGATTAGCTGAGTTTTACTCGGAGTTTTAGTACACTCAAAAAATTCCACACATCCCACGCTTTTTTTTTCCTTTATTTACAAGGCTTTTAGCCATTGGCTGGTTCGCCTTGAGATCCCACGCTTTGATCAGAGAGCGTATAGGGCATCGTTGTGCCAGGTTGGTCGTGGCACATTTCGAGTATGAGAGGGTGATTGCAGTTTGCTCAAAAGTGCCTGAGTAAAATCGAAGACAACAAATCAAGAAGACTGGCAACTCTTCCATTTTCTCATACGAACGCTATGAGACAGATACAATCGCATCATCTGCCGCTCAAAGGTAAATGCTTCGAACGAATTTGATAGCAAAGACTACATCCTCAGAAGAAAGGTTTGTGTATTTCCGGAGTGATTTGAGATTTGGGCGTAATTGCTTTTGTAAACAAACACGTCAATCGCCGATTTCTCGTGAATAAAACCTCAATCTCGTAAACAAGCTATGCCAAATGAAAGAGGAATAATTCCTTCACCTCGTAGTGTTATTAGTTTTCGAAATTGAGCTTTCATCCGCGAGAAATCGGCGATTGACGTGTTTGTTTACAAATGCAATTACGCCCAAATCTCAATCACTCCGGATTTGCTCATTTTTCGAAGCGTTGCTTCCACCTTCACTCAAGCGCAGCGCTATTGTATCTGTCGCTTGGATTCTGGCAAAGTTGCCAGTCTTCTTGATATGATATCTTCGGTAAAATGCAAGTACTTTCGATGATTACCCGCAGTTGAGATAATGAAGATATATAGCGGAAAGTGGGGCAGTTTGGCCACCATAAGAAAAACATCACTAATCATACAAAATTCAGTGGAAAACTCGAATGATGTTTAAGCAAATGGATAGTTTTAAGTCCTATTTACATCATCAATACAAATTGAATATCAAAATTAAACGTTTGAATCTTATGAAAGAAGATTTCAAAAATTTTGTTACCTTCTGGAGATCTACGGCTAGAAGCACAGTTCCCGACAACACAATTTCTCCTTCTTAACTTCTTAAGCTTCACGTGACATTTTGGCAATCCTGGAATGCTCGTCATAGCGAATGCAGGTCAAACAAGTATCTCCGGTGATCGTTTCAGGATGTACAGACGTCTTGCAGTGTTGTGCTGCATAACACATACTTCGCACTCTTCCTTACCCAATTTCACCAATGAAAAATTCATTTCCCGCATTTTCTTACAATGAAGAGCGTAAGTAACTTTAAGTTCATGCGTGTCTTGAAAATATTGGTGCATTAGCTTCTCAGTGAAATCTGATGGAAGATATAATCTGTTGGGGGCATGCTCGCTACGGTAATGTGACACAGTTCCGTAGGGTTGCAGAATATTGGTATTGATACAGCCATTAAAAGATCAAATGTACTTACACAGTTGTCGCCGTAGCCGAAAGCGCAAAACAAAAACTTCCGACGCACTTAACACCGTTCGAGGTCACGAGTTGAAACACATAGCTATTGATTTTTCTTGGTCCATCTTCCTCATACTTGTACCGTCGCCGATTTTGAACTGCCATTCGCTCGTTCTAACGGAAGTAGTTAGTCTGGTTATCTTGATTGACAGTCCAAAACATCGCGTTCAATTAAATTCGCTCGTCTTTGGAAATATTCGATCCACATTTCAACGTAAATCCGCACTCATCAAACTTAACTAGGTGTGAATGGAATGGAGGCGCTTTCTTGCAATGCTTCTCGCTTTTTTTTTCTATTTTCATAAGCTTCCGTTTTTTTGTAGATTCAACATTAGCAGTGAAGCTTCCTTCGGAATCGATGTCCTGCTCAGCTCAGAGTCTTCTAAAGATTTCAAACTTCAAATATCATTGAACACTTTTCAAAAAATCATGTGTGAGATACATAAAGACCCGTAACGTGGGTAGATAACCTTTTCGTGGTACGTTACGGGATGTAAGATCTACCACCGATTCCTAGTCTTGACTACTTCAAACTAGGGGAACAGGATTTTTTAGTAATCCAAGGAACACATCTTAGTCTTTGTTACTTTTTATGCCTTGTTTGATAGTGACAAGACTCGGCTTTGTCCACCGAAGATGATCTTGAAACAAGGAAAAAATGAGTTAGTTAGTCTTCATCTATGTGATTCCTAATCTTCTATTCGTTGTTCCCTAGTTTGAAGTGGTTAAGACTAGGGTTCTGATGCATGGTCATTATCGGTGTTATACCTTAATTTTGTTGCTAAGGAATCCAATTTTGACTGACAAAGGGGCGCGCCTTTGGAGGGTGTTTCAACACTTCGAAAGGTATAAATAGCGGGACCTTTCAATTAGAGTCGGATCCTTGCGATAAATGCAAAAGTGGCAACTGTAAAAAAATCGAATACTTCATCATTTCTCAATAGTGATGGAGTAATACGACATGCACTAAACTAAGGACACGGGATATACTACAATAGATCAATTTACTGGTCGCAGTAGTGTTAGGTCCCGGAAAAAAATACATAAAGACAATCTTTGAAATTTTCTTATCGTAGGGTGGTCAAATTGCCCCTATGCCGAAACTGCCCAACTTTCCCCTAACCAACAGAAATTTGATAGCGTAAGTGGAGATGGGTAAGCCGTTTCGATATTCTGCTTTCGATTGTCAGCCTAACCAATCATCTAACGAAGAGACCTGTCGAACCTATTCAAGGGCTTTCGGATCTAGCAACAATATTTTGCAGTTACTTTTAATGTAATTCCTACAAAATTTTACTGTCTCGTGAAATACAATTGTGCTAACAAAAAATATATAATAATAGCAGTACACGTCTTAATCAAATAGCGTGAGATAGATGACGCAGAAATAGAGGGAAAGAAACTTATACTTTGATTCCGTTTACTTTTTATTTTCTTCTGTTTATGCAATTTAGACGATTTCACAAGAAAAAAGAAAGAAGGTATTAAAATAAAATCCGGAAGATAATCATCATCCTCTTGCAAGTGATATATATTTCCTACTTTAAAATTGATCCATTCTTTAGTATATATTCTGCACGGGTTCTCTTCCATAAATTTAATCAGATTTACTCCCGCTTTCATATCTTTTAAGTGCGCATTCCCTAATTAATTAGCACTGCATTTCCCCATTGTCGTTTCTCTCATATTTACACATTTCACCGAAAACGCGCATTTCAGGCCAAACAAAACTCGGTATGCCAATTGTCGAATGAATTCTGTTCCCTCTCTAAAAAAAAAGCAGCTCTCCTCACGCTCCATTTTCCGTCGCTTTTCATCTTTTATTCCGTACAGCCTCTAACTTGACTGTACTCTGTCAATCAACTTTTGTTATGCTTCTGTCGTTTAAGTTTTATGCAAATAAAAAGTGGGAAAAGTGCATCTTCATACGATCAAACAACTGAATAAAACTGTAGGAAGATAATTGCTCTTGTCTTCAATAATTATTGTTGTTTTGGAATTAACCGTTACTATCGGTAGTAAAAACTAAAAAAATATGCAAAAAAGATCGGTTGTCTGCCGCCCTCTTTCGCAAGTTTTTGTTGTATAATTAGAGTTTAATTTTAATATTCTTACTATACGCACGGTTGCTCGCTCACTATCTTTCGTCTAGCTCATGCGTGTGTGTATGTGTATGTGTGAGTGTGTAAGAATAGGTATACGGTTCATCAGAAAATTTACCTTAATATTTGTTGCACCGCTCGCAGCTCCATCTCAGAAATCCTAGCGAAATTTTAGTTACCATCAGCTTAATAATGTGAGGCTTATGTTTCTGTGTTTGTTCTACATGTGTATCTGTGTGACTGATTAGGAGGTTCTGGGGCCGAGCGGGGCGCATTAGGAGACGAAAGAATACGGCATAACGCAACAACACACCAGTCCTCTCCGTCTAACCCTCTCGCTTGATATTCGTAGGGGTCTCTGCGAGACCCTTGACTTTCAGTCTATCGGCGGTTTTCAAAAACGTCGGCAGTTGTTCCTGAGACACGTTCACCTCGCCGGCGTACATAAACTCTAGGATCGCCTGCAGGTGGCTGTAAGACACGTCCTTTAGGATGATGATCGGATGCTTGGAGGGGTTTTCCTGTGGGTTGAAAAGAAGAAACCAGCGATATAGAAATTATATTATTGAATTACTGTTACTGCATACAGTATGCTGTCAGATTTGATCTCACCACTACTGATAGCATGGTGCCACCTTCCTATACTGCCGTTCTACGCATATCTGTCCCATGCTACTTTTGGACGTTTATCATTTTTGCTCATAAAACAGTACTTTTTAAGGATTTTTTTTAAGGAATTTCGAATGAAAATAGAAAACATGTAATTTATACTGTATAGGCCCAGTACATCACAACATCAAGTCTAGTTGTCCAATGGAAATTCTACGCATAACTGTCTCACAAAGTTGTTCTTTACTGAATCTATCACTAACGATTTGAGTAAACGAAAGATTGAAACAGGATTTATATGATCAAAAGAAACGGTGCGAGCCATTTCAGGAAGTAGAATTTATATTTTATAATGCGTAGTATAAGGATCAACTCCGAACGGAAGAAATCGTTACTGTGCATGTTAACTCTTCCAAAGTATTTCTTGAAATCATCGAAATCCACGATCGATGATCCTATGACTCAAACTAATAAAGCACAATCTCCTTTAGGCCTACGTTCATATTGCTAAGGAGTAGCTTCGAAATCATCGTTATGTTATGGATTCCTTTGTAACAGATCTTTCCTTTATTTTTCTTTTAACTCTAGATAGAGCTGGGATTAGGGCGTAACAGCTTTTGTAAACAATGACTTCTCTCGATGATTTCTCGACAGTCATGGCTATCGCTGGCAAATCGAGACCATCATCGAGTAGGGGAAGACTAGAAGACCCCTATCCGATGAACACGTTGGTTTGTGTAGCCATGCCTTGAATTCCAAGAAGTCACCGAGACAAGTAATTGTTTACCAAGGCTGTTACGCCCTAATTCCAGCTCTATCTAGCACTTTTTTTTTTTTTTTGTTCATTAATTTATTTGATAAGGCTCAACCGAATTAACTTAACAGAGCTGAGGATTCTTGGTCACTATACAATACATCTTAAAAATATAGTCAAAAGGTACAACACAATAAACACTTTATCTTCCACTATCCAAAAAGCTTCCTCCATCAGAACTGGAGCCGCTTCCAGTAGTTTCATTGTATGGCAAACTGTTGTACGCCAACGAGGGTCAGAGCGCGTCCATTGCAGCAATGGACGCAAAACGTGGTCAGCACTCACACACTCATCACGAAACGGTTGCTTTCCAAAGTCGACGACGCATCGACCGAAAGAACTGCTGATGAAGAACAATGAGGAGGACCACACAATGGTTGCTGAAGAGAAAACAGACAATCGCGTAGCACACATCGAGAGTGGTCTGCTTTTGTCGACAGCCGAGTGAACACTCATCTAGCACTTTTATTCCATTATTATATGAAACATTAAAGCGAAGCGAAATAGATGGGGAGAGTGTAAACGCCAACTCCGTCTTAAATATTTCGTGACAAGAGGATGGGCCCTTCTTCCCACTCATTGGGACATCCTCCTGTTGGATGGCCTGTTTTTTTACCGGTTGTAGGATCCTGTTGTTGGAAGGAGATACTCATTTATCCCGTGGATGCAAGAAGTCGAGGGCCGCTTTTGCCAGTTTGCGAAATGTATGGAGAGCGAATCCGATCAGTCGACGCACCAAAATCCAAATTTTTAACTCGAACGTGAAGTCTGTGCTGTTATACGCCAGTGAAACATGGTGTGTATCAGCGGAGAACACTCAGAAGCTGTAGGTGTTTATCAACCGATGCCTGCGGTACATAATTCGTGCATGGTGGCCCCACAATTGGATCTCAAATTCCGAGCTTCATCGTTTGTGCCATCAGAAGCCGATAGAGACAGAAATTCGTGAACGGAAGTGGAGGTGGGTCGGCCACACACTTCGACGGAGCGGAAACGAAATATGCAAGCAAGCACTGGACTGGAATCCAGCAGGACATCGCAGCAGAGGCAGACCCAGAGGCTCGTGGCGGCGGAGCCTAAACAGAGAAATTAAGAACGTTGACCGAACCCCTGGAGGTGCGCAGGATCGTTAAGTAGTAAGTAAGTATGCACGTGGGCGATGTTGCCCACGGATTCACCCAAACCGTTTTTCGTCCTTCAATGGCAGGTTGAGTACAATTAGAGGTTGTTTCCGCACACTGCCGCTGAAATGCTACTATATCAGACTCAACCACGAGTATAAGCGGTTAAGTCGTCTCTTTTTTCAACGCTATCAAAGGAGGATTCAACGGCGCCTAAAATCACACCCGAAATCCTTCTGGAACTTCGTAAATGAGCAACGCAGGGAAGTCGGCTTACCCTCTTCCATGATTTTTAATGGTGAAACTGCTGGCAATCAACAAGATATTTGCAACCTGTTCTCTGCCACATTTGCTAGTGTGTTTGAAGACGAGCAACTCTCCGCTAATATCATTACTTCCGCGGCCAGTAATGTTCCTTTGGTCAACCAAACGCTTAGCGTTGTCGACGCCACTACAGATACGATTTCTAGAGCAGCATCTAAACTTAAAACTTCAGCTAAGGCTTGGCCCGGTGTTGTTCCGTCGATTAATCTTAAAAAGTAGAAGGGTCTGTGCCTAGGGGCACGAACGGAAGCTTGACGTAGGACCGCTAGTGGACGGAATAAATGTGAAGAGCATTAAGTTCTTTTAATTGATCAAATCAGGCATAACATTTGATAACGGCACAAAAGCATTTGTAAACAAACATTCTAAGGCCCTTTACACGCGAACTAAAGTACGCCCACGCAAACCAATACCACTTTCGGAAAGGTAATAGTTGCCCCTATGCGACGATGTTGTTGGTTTGCGTGGGCGTACTTTGGTTCGCGTGTAAAGGGCCTTAGAAGGTTTGTTTACAAATGCTTTTGTGCCGTTATCAAATGTTATGCCTGAAATATCTACTATCTCAACTCTTTCCGTTTTTGAATTGTAGGCGATCCAAATTTGTAGTAATCTTTATCAAAAAGAAAGTTGATTACGAGAATCAATCAAAATCACTTGCACCCCTGCTTCCAAGTTTGTGTGGTCGTTGGGGGCTTGTGGTTCTGAATATGGACAAACAAGCACAGATAAATTCTATTCCAACTCTTTACTGATGTAAGCTTGATGGCCCTGAAAAGGGCCGTTTTATCGAAGAGGACATCCATGGCCACTTACGTTTGGCGTGTTTAGAGTAGGTGACAGCATCACGGACCTAATTTTCCACGAACACCTTCAGCACACCTCGTAGATCAGACCGGAGATACGTCAGACACTGCCCCGGCGAGCCAGACGACGGATGGTGGTTACCTCGAAGAATTTGCGATGACGATTGGCACCTCCTTTGCCACGACCTACTGCTGCTATTGCTGACCACGCCGTCCGAAGCGAAAATGAGCTGATACCCGACAGCAGCGCTGCTTTATATTTTTTAGCTTAAAGCAGAATGATGTGCAACCAAGTGGTATAAAAGCTACAAAGACTCCTCCCATTATGAGTAGTTTGCTATCAAGTAGCGACACTGGCTATTTTCTTTTTGCATACACGGCGAATGAGAACGACCCAAATTTGAGTTTAGTTCACTCATAATCGCCAAAAGTGTAGGAACTCAGCGATGAGTAAATTTGTCTCATGATTTCGTGTGGAAAACCTAAAAAATCTGCCAGAAAATGAGGAGATTGACGAAAATTTTATTCAGTCTCGGAGTAGTGCCAATAGACTGAGTGAATCCAATCTTTACTTTTCTCAAATTCGGGAATTTTTCCCTGGAAAATCCTGGAAAAACCTGGGAAAACATGAGGCAAATTTACTCATCCCTGATTTCCTGCACTTTATTTCTTATTTCTGAGATAACTAAACTCAAATTTGGGTCGTTCTCATTCGCCGTGATAGATATCGGCGTCTGTGGTTTGCGTGATTACCTCTCACCCCAGCAGGCCTGTGTCCAATCTCAGTCGGCGCCATCGGCATGTTCTAAGGCATAACATCTCTGGGAGCTGCCTCCCTGGCGTCGGTAGCATTGGAGCTCAGTACGGAAAACAAATCTCGCGTCACTTTTCAATAGGTCCTATCTACATTGATCGATTCTCTTCATCGACACTCTCTTTCGTAAATAACTCGGCTTCACAAATCTGGATCAACAATATAAAAGAGCCCATCAGCATTTGTAAACAAACCGTTCCAAAGCCCTTTACTCACAAAGCGAAGGCCACCCACACAAACCAACACCATCATCGGATAGGGAAAACTTCTACCTACAAGATGTTGGTGTTGGTTTGTGTGAGCGGCCTTCGATTTGTGAGGCTTTGGAACGGTTTGTTCACAAATGCTGATGGGCTCTATTCTATTGTTGATCCAGAAATGTTTCCTGACGTCTTCGTCGAATTAGATGCTAGATTTTTGCTTCTTCCATCGAAAATATCCGGCCGTGGCGATTCAAAGTTGATCAAGGTTGATCAAAATAATTTGTATCCCTGCTTCCAGTTTGATTACATGAGCATTTTGTGTGGTCGGTGGTTCTGAATATGGACAAACAGACAGATGAATTATATTCCTACTCTTTTCTGTAATAAGCTTGGTGGCCCTGAAAAGAGCCGTTTTGTTTCCAATGTTGGTGATGATTTAACCTCCGAAACCAAACAGAGTGCGTCTCTGTCACTTCAAAAACGTAGATGACATCCATGGCCGCTTACGCTTGGCGTGTTTAGTGTAGGTGACAGCATCACGGATCTCATTTTTCAGGAACACCTTCAGCACACCTCGTAAATCAAACCGGAGATACGTCAGACACCGCCACGGCGAGCCAGACAACGGATGGTGGCTATCTCGAAGAATTTGCGTTTCGTTCTGAACATGGCGATGAGTGTGTAAACGACTTGTCACTTGCCACTTCGACTTGTTTCGTCTACTTACTACTCTCTGACGACTGTGCTGGGGAAGCAGCATATGCATGTAGGTAATTGGTGGATTTGTTAGTTAATTCGACGCTTTTGGACAATGCTGAACATTTGCCAGTTTT